AACAGTACATTTTACTTTACATTCAAATGGTAAACAACATAAAGCTCATTTTAATGTAATTCGCTTAAGACAGTGGTTGGAGATGTTAAAAGACCGTGAAGCTGTGGTCCGCCAGAATTAGAGCAAGGGGAGTTGTCACGGTGCCGTTTGATTCAATTTTGTGAAGCTATGCTTATTATCTATCTTGCTCGCCAATGTGTGAATATATTGTGTGGTTTTATTCATTCAACAGCATCATCCTTTCACAGACGTCTTGGTGTTCCTCCTTAAAACGACAAACATTTTCTCTAAACGATCGCCATTCTAACGACTTGACAAAATGTCGTCGTTTCTATATGTCGACATCGAATATCTGGCTATCTTAAGACGCATTTACTGGATACGATTTCGTTTGTTTCCTTACGACTGTTTGAACAGGATCGAAAAGATGCCTGTTCTCTTAGAAAAAAAACAAAAAAATACGGCGAAGTATGGCAATACAGAGGGGCAATAAAGTCTATTCAGCAGAGTACAGCATATCGGATAGATTCAAGTAATTAAAGTGAAAGAAGCAGCAAACCAGCGTTAAACAGAGTATGAAAAAAAATTAAAGAAACCAGAAATGAACAGAAACAAACAGGAGCGACAAAGTTCTTGCTGTTTCACACAAAATGAGATAAACAGCTGCCTTCTTCTACCTTCAGGGCTGAAGCCGGGATGAAAGAATACGAAGAAACTCTGTGCGAGACAATGCGCAATAAAATTCTGCTTTGATTAAATGACGCTGTGCTAGATTAATTTAAAGGATGTGCAACTTCTGGTCATACGTTTGCTATCAGGGGTGATTTAATCAACTTGATTAGCTCAACCAAATGTATACCACTATGTTCGGATATAAGCTTCAGTGATCGCCTACGGGAGAGAAAGTCACAAGCGAGTACAACAAGAAAGATAACTGCTGAAGCTTAAGTGCAGAGTGATAATATGCATCAAAATGCGAAAGCCATAACTAAAAACTGAGGAATCTACAACTTGCGCATATGTTTTACATAATATGAAGTTCTCTGAACTTTAGAAGTCCGGTATTTCGGACGCTGGTGACAAGTGAGATCAGAAGATACCGTCCCGTCCCGAGACATGTCACTTTCCTTCATGTGCCAGCTGTATTACCTTCGGTACGATGAAGCTAACACTAGAAGAGATGATCTTTTGGTGTTTTCCTTACGAAGGTACGTTCCTTAATTTTAGTGGAATTATATGCAAGTGCATACTTATGTGCATATGCGCAAACATACTCAACCGTAGCTTCATACCGTGGCCGGTCGGATGGGCATCTCAGGGAAGCAACATTTTCAACAGAATGACAATGAGATGGTGCAATCATTAGTGTACAAGCATTTATAACGGTAAACTGTAATAGTATTCTATTTTGAAAGCTTCGCCAGCGTTTCGATGCGTCTGCCCAATTAAATTTAAATTTGCAAAATTTAAAATTTTTTTATTTACATCTGCATTTACGCCTTGTGCTGGCGTTTAGTCAACTACCAGATGGGTCGAGACGAAATTGGGTAGTGAAACATACGCGTCGGACACCATGGTCGTACGACTGTCACGCTATGGCGGCATCATCTCAAAGAACTCTGCTGTTTCTGTTCACAAATCCACAAATTCCTACCCGTTTCCTGGCTAGTTGCGCTGAAGAACAGTGGGATGAATTCACTGCTCAATGGCATTAACAGCTAGAAAGAGAAAATTTACGCGACGGGTTGCGTTCAAACCCGATACTCCGACATGCTAAGGAACCCACTAACCAACTGCGCCATTGACCCTTAATTTTTATATTTTTATGATAACAGCGGATCAAAACAAGATGTAAGGAATTTCCAACTTTCCGGAGCAAATATCTACAATTATCCACGAAAAGTTCATTTAGAAGACTGCCAGAAAACGACCTGAAAAGCAACGCAATGCAGACTAATTCTGCTTATTTACCTTATGAAGCGAAATTTCGCAAGTCGCAACCGTGTGATCGTCCTGCGTCGCTTTGACGTGCCTTGAATAAATGCTTCTACCATCACGAATGCGTTCCACGCTGTACGTGATCGGCTTTTCGAAGTCGGCTAAGAACCAACAACGTGAATTTATTCCATCAAACCAGTTACACTAGCAGATATGATCGGTTAGTTATAAATGGAATGACGTTTTTTCTGACACTTTAATGATGAGACCACTTTGACGCCCTTATTTTCATGAAATTAATGGGGCAGAGGGAGGGAAGGGGGACGATAATGGCCATTTCCATGCTATCAGCCAAGAATGCCTTTATTTTAAAGGCTGATCGACAGCAACTATGTGCTGTCACCGAAAACTGAAAAAGACCACTGTATTGCTGTATATTTGTATTAAAGGAAGAAATGGTGGTACTTGTAAAGAGTGGTACTCGTTTATCAACTTCAGAAGGGAAAAGGTGAGTGACGCTGACCGAAATTCGGAACCGGGTCCTCTCTGCTTTGAATTGGACGCTTTGACCGACAATCCCAGTATGAAGCAGCAAGTGTTAAATTGCTTGCTGAAAGGAATTTGTGAATAAGACAATGATTGCCTTCGCCAGAATCGAATCGGAACCTCCGCAGTTCGAGGCACACTTCATATATAAAAATGATATATGACATACAAACAAACTAATTAATTACCCTGTGATATGACATTTATGATAACCAATCAATACAGTACAGATGTAGAAAACAGGAGATATTGAAGCTGTTGCCTTTTAAACAACACAGTGGGGCGGAGACGTCGGCAAGGAGCTGTGTGGAAACCGATTTATAACTTATAACACAGATATCGAATATGAAAAGTTTTCTAGTGGTTGGTCTGTTTAAATTTTAAAATTCATACATAAAAGCAATAGCAATATTAATGTACTCGTACTTTTATTTTCCTTTCTTAAATGGAGTATTTTTAAAGAGATTACAGCGAAGTAAAGCATTTGAAGATCTGCCTGACCACCTAATAGGATGCACGCCGGTCACGTCGCACTCGGCTGGAAACCTTGCCACATAGCACTGCTGATCAATTGGAGAAGATGCCAATAAAACGAGGTCGTCTGCAAACAAAGCCTTCTCTTCTCGAAATCTTCTTCACCAATACACTCATTGCCACGGCTGCGCCTTATTATTCTATCCATATACAACACAAACATGAGAGGGGACAGGACGCAACCTTGGTGGAGACTAATTCCCATGCTGAAAGATATCGATTTAACACCATTTATTCAAAGCAGCACATGCTATCAGTATATTGTGGTTGGATGGCCCGTAGAAACTGATCACTGATTCCATACGTTCGTAAATACGGCCCTAGATTGTTGCACTGGATCCGGTCATAGGTTTTCTGTAGGTCCAAAAAGCAAATATACACCGAATATGCATATAACCGCGATTTCTCAACATCTGGCGTAGGGCGAATAACTGGTCAGATCTGCTTCAGCCGGGCCAGAAGCCATGCTGCACTTCTTGTATTTGGCAGTCAGTTATTCTACGACATCTCCCTTTCTTTCTAGCACCTTTGCGTGGACTTTAATCGGGAGGATCAATAAGGTAGTGCGCCGATAGTTGGAGCACTCACTATG